GGCCACCCTTCTACACTTTCTGGCCTTGGAATTTGATCATGTCTGGCTGGTATATTCTTCCTTGAGTAAGTGACTGGAAGTGCAATCTCTATCTTTTCATTTTTACCACATACTATTAGTCCTCTAGTCTTTGTACTTTCAATTGTTTCTTCGCCTGTCACTGTTGTTAACTTTAGGTGTACCTTGGAGCCTAGAATGTTTAGCTCATTCATGGTGGATTCTTTAATAAAACATGCATCTGACTGTTCATCCAATAATGCATAAACCAATACCTTTTTACGTATGTTACTTTCATGATGTATCCATACTGGTACTATCATGGAATGCATCATATCCTCTGATTTTCTCAATATCTTTATTTTATTGGAAACTGCACTATCTTTGAGTTCCTCATTAACTTTGCTGGAGTTTAATTTGACAATGTTACTGTATTTCCAGCCTCTTGTTCCTTATACATTTTGAGTAAGGCTTCCCTTTCTTTTATTCTTTCAAGTATAGCCTCATGAAGAGATGTTGGATGACGTCTCTTACATACTGTGCATATATTCTTTCTTTTGCAGTTTTTAACAATATGGCCATGTTTAAACAACCCCTACAAAGAAATGATTTTTTGGACATATTCAAATTTTGCCTTATTATCAAGTCCATTAAACCCTTACATTTATCAAGTTCATGATCAGGTGACCGTCGATATATGTATATATATATATATATATATATATATATATATATATATATATATATATATATATATATATATATATCTATTTTATATTTATAAATATATATATATATATGTGTGTGTGTGTGTGTGTGTGTGTATATATATATCTATATATATTATATATATATCTATATATAATATATATATATATATATATATTTATAAATATATTTATATATATGTGTTGTGTGTGTGTGTGTGTGTGTATATATATATCTATATATATATATATATATATAATATATATATATATATATATATATATATATATGTATATATATGTATATATATATATATGTATATATATATATATTATATATAATATATATATATACCTATATATATATATATATACATATATATATATATATATATATATATATATATATATATATATCTAATATATATATTATATATATGCATATGCTGTTTATGTCTCTTTCATGAGGCCATTGCTATGACACTTTCATTAACAACAGGGGAAAAATTATAATGATAATTGTAATGATGATATTAATAAAGATAATAGTAATGATGATATTAATAATGATAATAGTAATGATTATATTAATAATGATAATAGTAATGATGATATTAATAATGATATTAGTAATGATAATATTAATAATGATAGTAATGATGATATTAATAATGATAATAGTAACAAAAGTAGTAACAACAGTAATATTGAAAATAATAACAGTAATAACAACAACAATAATTCAATTACTATTTTTTCATAGTAATGATAAACTTGATTTTCTTATTCTATTCCCTATTGCTGGAACGTGTGGTTTAATCTCGTTTTACAACCACAGCGTTTATACTTTACGGTTTATAATATCTGTGATTTCAGATTGCTATAAGAACTAAGTTAGATGCTAAAATAAGAGTACAGGTTGCTCTTTTGTATTTGTTATAAGAGTAGTGCTTAAAGTAGTAGTAGTGGTGGAAATATAAGTAATAGTAGTATTTGTAGTCGTAGTCGTTATAGGAGTAGTCGTAGAGAAAGAAGTAGAAGTAGAAGCAAACGTAGTAGTAATAGTAGTAGTAGTTAAGAGTAGTATAACCAATAGCAGTTGTAACAGTAGTAGGTGTAGTAGGATTAGTAGTAGTAGCAATAGCAATAGTAGTGGGAGGAGTAGAGTAGCAGTCGTAGTCGTCATAGTAACAGTAGATGTAGTAGTAGGAGCAGGAGGAATCATAGTAGTAATAGTATTAGTAGCCTGTAGTACTAGAAGCAAAAATAGTAATAACATAATTAGTAGTAACAGAGATATTGATGTTGAAGATGATCATCGTGTTAGTAATGATAATGCCAGAAATAATATAATAGTGATAAAGATGGTAATAATGATAATAGTAGATTATAATTATTATAAAGATTATATAATATATAATACTAGTGGCCCCTACTATCTAACAGTAATTAATAATAATGGATAATATAACAATGTGTAGTTTCTAGTAATAAAATATAAAAACTAATTAGTCAGAAAACATTAGTATAATACAAGAGGTATCTACATTAACTTATATTGCTAATCATTCTTGCCATTATCCTTATTCACTGTCATCATTATTTCTATTATCATTATGTAATTTGATAATAATAATGATAATGATGATGATGAGGATGGCGGGGTGCCTTTCAGCAGGACACAGTAGCATACTAAGGAGGCGCCTGCCATTATGTTTAAAAAGAAACGTCTTTAGGCAATGTGCCAGAGGAGGGAGGAGAGGTTGATGCTGGGAATTATCGAAGAGATCGGATGA